CATACAACCACAGACAGCTACACAGACATCCATGGATGTCTGTGTATGGATGTCTGTGTTTGGATGTCTGTGTAGCTGTCTGTGGCTGTCTGTGGTTGTATGTGTGCTGTCTGTGCAGCTGTCTGTGCAGCTGTCTGTGGCTGTTTGTGGGTGTCTGTGTGCTGTCTGTGGGTGTCTTCATGTTTTACTATTACCCCTCTTCTGAACCAATGGCGAAAAAAAGAATATGGACGAAACGGGGCTATTTGCACGTACAAAACCTCAGTTAGCAAAATCAAATTATTTTCTAGTCTCTGATCCTTCGCAAGCCAAAGATATGAAGGTGTTTAACAGAGAGAATTTCATAAATTTTCGAATTTCATGTACGACTGACAGGAATGGGCTCCATTCACGGCTACACAGATTTCTGATTATTACGATATTTGGCCGTTACGAACGAAATTAGTCCCATGGCATCCGTTAGATATGGTAAATCGGCCTAAACTGAAATGGACTTTTAGGCCGGCATGGAATAAATTTATAACACTCTATAAACGAGCAATTCCTCATAACTATCATCATCTCATTGGGGTTAATTCAGCTTTTGGTGGTGCAGTAATCTCTCAATCTCAATCTCTCAAGTGTGTGAACATGTACCATTTCATGAATGTATTAAACAGATTAGTGGAAGACGATTATTTATTAATCCAAAGTTTCAGACAACAACTGGCTGGGAAGTTTGATGAAGAAAGAACAAAAGTTAGTTGAAAACTGGATCGGCAGATGGTCAAATTTGTTGTAGAATGCAGCAGAAAAAAGTAATTTAATCTGACCACGAGCGATCGTACTGTGTACAGAATTATGGTTGATCACTATATTCGAAGTAACTTATGATTATTTGTGTGTGAATCGAGATCGAAAAAGTTTCTTTTCGTTCATTCTATGCTACAGCAGCTTGTATTTTGCCTTTGTCATCTGTTCAAATACAAGTTATCTCATCACTTTTGCCTTCAAAGCGGAACATCAATAAAGTGCTTGAGAATTGCATTTGTAAAACCTGTAAGTGAAGTTTTGCAGTGCGAGCGCTATGTCGCACAAGTGATCACCATGAATTCGTGCTAGTCTCCTCACGATCGCAATTTACACGACAAAGCGCGTTCGCAGTCAAATCTTCTAAAAATATGAAATCTGATCGTAAGTTTTTGTAGTCGAACGCCCATCTCTGGTGAGTCGGTATTCAACGTTTTCTTTTACGGTTAAGAATAAGATAAAAGAAGAACAAGAAACCTTGTTTCATTCGTTCTGTACATGGCTTTTCCTTTGGTACCTTCGACTCTCTCACAATTTCAGAATAACGTGGGCACCAACACCAAACCGAGAACTACTGATCACTACGAGTTTCTTCCGATAAGCACAATATTGCAGCATTGAAACAGTATAATGAGAGCTTTATAAGACGCGTTCCCGTCAAATATGAAGTTTTTCCCGTATTACAGTTAGCATGAAAAGCATGTTTCTCTCATTTTCTTCAAACAATATTTAATCAAAAAAATCCGTTTTTCTAATCATCAAACTTTATATACACTGCTACACTCTTTGGTATAACAGTAACATGTTGTATATGTCCACCATTGTTTCCCGGTGCATCTAAAAATGTAACTGATTGCATTAATCGTATCATAATCAATTTCAATTCAAGACGTGCTAAATCTTGACCGGCACACGCATGTGGCCCACCACCAAACGGTAGTAATGCATAGGGATGATGTTTGGAATCAGGTGCATCTGAACCGTAGAAACGTTCCGGAAGAAATTCATTTGGATTTAGCTTCCAATTACGTGGATCCGTATGTAAACAAGCAATTGCTATCATTACATTTTCTCCTTTTCGCATACTTATACCATTGATCGTATCATCTACAGGTAGTTGACGTGAAACTGCTACGGCCGTCGGTGCGAGACGAAGTGTTTCTTTCAATACACAGTCAACATACCCTAGCTTTTGTATATTTTCCGTTGTCAACGGTGCACTACCACAGTGGATACGTATTTCATCTTTCATTTTCTGTTGTACTTCTGGACGTTTCGATACGAAATATGTAAACCAGGAGAGTACGGTTGCTGTTGTTTCGTAACCAGCAAAGATGAGTAGTGCTAAATTATCGATCAATTCCTGTTTTGTTATACCCTGTTCACGTTGATCTGTGTCTTCTTCCTTTAAACTTGACAGTAGCATACTCAACAGATTTTGACGGATGGCTGGTTTTGATTCATCTTCAACAGACAATGAAGTGATCTTCTGTTTATCATGATACTCTTCAATAATATGATTGATATAATTGTGTAGAAAAGTTAACGATCGTTTATGAGTAGATGAAAATAATATCAATTTTAAACGTTTTAAAAATCCTGGTAAAGGTGTGAGGATCATATCCGTAACTGCCTGTATTAAATTTGCTGTAGCTACACCGAGTGTCATATTTTTCTGATCAATCTTTTCTGATGCAGATTCTAACGGTTTATTAATTAACTTAAAATTATGATCAAATGCAATGATACCAATAATTTCCATAGCTAAACTGCTATAATCCTTTATGATGTTACGATTAATTTTCTCAGACTCACTCTGTCCATACATCTTTTTCCATACGTTCAAATGTTTATCTGTCTGTTCAATAATATTGTTCATATAAGGAACAATACGATACTTTCGCAGTAATGGCAATATAATTCGACTAATTCGTTTATGATCTAAACCACGTCGTATGATAACGGCTGTTGGAAACAGAAGTTCAAATTGTTCTTCGGTTGCTCGTGTATTATCGAAATTTTTACGATTTGTCGACAGAATATATTCAGCATCTTCAGGACGACAAAAAACTGTGTAAGACCATGCACCTAACCACATCTGGTATAGATCACCAAATTTTTCTTGTTGGTTACGAAATGCATCCCATAACGAGAGACCTTTCAATAGACCAATCTTTCGTATACTGCCGATTAGAAATTCGGGTTCATAACCGGGTATTGTGATATGACATTTTGTATAATAACGTCGTTTAAAATAGAAATAAGTTAGGAAAAGAACAAGTAGACATTGTAATAGTATTATGTAGAAAGACATGTGCGTATAAAGTTTATCAACAAAAGTTATGTAAGCATTTCTGTTGTTGCAATGTTGATGTCCGATGGGGAGAAAATCGTGTGTTAGTTCTTTTTCATTATTATTCTCTGCGTATATAACCTTTTCTATTCACTCAGAATATTTTTGGAGTGTTTTCGATTTCGAGACAGAATGAAAAAAACAAAATATAATTACTGTTCTTTTTCTTTTTCTTTTTTCTTCTTGTACATATGCGAAAAAAATAGACCTTCGGTGATGTAAACATGTGCGATCACAGCATAACGAGCCGTCCGGACGGAATTAAGAAAACTACTGGTTCTTCCGCCAAAAAAGCTTTTTTGATTGTATATCATATCATACGAATAGGCTGCATTCACAGCTACATAATAGAGCCCATCGGGTCCATGATTTTTGTACCCGAACCCGATGATAAAAATTTATTCAAACCCGGTTGGTTAAATTTTTTTGTACCCGGACCCGCTCAAACAAAATTCTCGGATCCGAACCCAATAATTAATTCTTTGTGATTCAGGCAGGAATCACACTCATTTGAGATCTATAATGCAAAATTCTAGTTCGGATTTTATAATCGATCCAAAGATAGAATATCCTTTTTTTTCCCATTTTTTATAATATTGTAACTATAGACAGTAGTTAAGAACCTGATAATACCCTGTTTGGATTTTAGGTTCATAATAGTAATTTAATTTCGATAATATAGTCACGAAGAGTCTTGTTATTTTCTGCTATTTTTTATAAATTAAATGAACGGTTTTTTGAATAAAAAGAACAGAAACAAACGAAAATAAAAATAATGGAATTATTTTTTATAGTGGATTTTTTTCTGGCTAATGAAAATTTATAGACCCGGATCCGGTGAATTCAAAATTTTCAGATCCGGACCCGGACCCGATAGGCTCTACTATACAGACTTATAATTATTACGATATCTGGTCGTTAAGAACGAAATTAGTTCCATGGGATCTGTTAGATATGGTAAATCGGCCTAAACTGAACTGGACTTTCAGGCCGGCATGGAATAAATAACACTCTATAAACGAGCAATTCCTCATAACTATCATCATCTCATTGAGGTTAATTCAGTTTTTGGTGGTGCAGTAATCTCACAATCAAAGTTTGATCGTAAATCGCTTGAGTTGTGAAATTGACACAGCAAAAAAGAGGCGAACAATCTTCTGGTTTTCGAAATTTCTTCAGCGACAGCCCAGACCTTTATTGTTTGAATGTCCTCCGTTCAATTAATTCATATAAAACAAAAGTCCAAAATTTGAATTTTATATTTTGTTTACATTTTTTATTTTTCCACCTGTCAAATAGACGTCGACATTCTACACCGTCAACCAACTAAATTAATGTTGAAACCATTCTTGTTTTTTTATATTATTCGAATAATTAATTTGGAATTTTGCACATAATTTTTTGAAATTCAGTCATTATTAACGGCGATATTGACAAATTTTTGTGTTATTAACATGGATAATGATGTATAAATCAGTTTAAGAGCTCTCAAAAATTTGTTAAAATGCGATACATTTAAAATAGCTCGTAATATTGCACCTTTATATATGTTGTAATGGAAATCAAAATCGGATACATAACGATCTCTCTCGTTGTTGAACTACCAACATCCAAATGGACAAAAACAGTTAGACCATTGTGTTGTACTTATTTGACACTATACAGAATATTTTTTTTCTTTATTTAAAAGTTGCTTGTTTACCAGTCAAGTATAGGAAATTCAAAAAGATGACACTACCTATTGACATGTTTATGAAAATACCCGTTGAAGATCGAAAAGTTACTTCGACCCTAATAATAAGAGTGCACAAAACGAAAACACCCATGAAAACAACATAAAAAATACGATATGAAACTGCGTTATGAACATATTTGAAGCTGATGGAAAAAAAGATAAAAGGTTACTGTTTTTGTAGTAAATCAATACTACAAATTTTGTAAATTATTTAGTGAATAGCTAAGGTTAGTTTGATAGTTCGAGATTTAAAGCCCGCTTTAACTATGAATAAAATACAGAAAACATGAAAAAATACTTCATATAGTTGTAAAGGGAAGAAAAATCTGTCACAACTCGAATTAACTTTTCACTGAAAGAACTTCAAAATATTGAAGTACTCGCTCATCTCCATAGACAATAAACAACAAATCATTTTTCAGCAAAAAATCTGGAAGGTTACAAAGGAAGGGGTCCATGATTTTGGCTCACTGTTTTTTCGACTTAATTTTGATCAAATTTTATAGGGAAAGCGGTTTTACACATTTTTCAGTCTATCTGACCCTTCATAACCTTACAGACAATTTGTAAATTAACTTTTCTGAGGTGGTAAAGGATACTGGGTGCTTAACAAAAACGATTCTGTTCAACATCTAATATGAAGTTAGGGTAAAGCTTGATTTAGAAAAATAGCCAATGAATAACTGACAAAATGGTATATGAACCATAGTTACGTACCATATGATTAAGGAGAAGTGATTTATTTTCAAGCATCCCCTATCTTGTGATCATGCTTGAGTGATCAAATTTTCCCATTTTCTCCCATGAGCAAGAGAGAATGCAACTACACTCTAGTATAGAGAAATAGTTCTTGAGAAGCTCTACAA